GAAACAGAATGCCAAGGTCGTTGTCCTCAGGGACCTTATAGTCTGTTGGAGGATAGAAAAGAGTGTGATGAATACTGTAATGGAGGATTAGAGTGCTTACATGTTTATGGGAGGATTTAAGATGGATACCTCATCTAGGTTCAGGTAAGTGGAGTCAAGAAGGTCTTCCTGGAGAATGCAACATCCTTGTTCAACCCTTAAATACAAACAAAATTTTAAAAAGAGGTGGGAGATTGGCATGGGAACAGAGGCACTGGAAAATTTGGCAATCTGAGGAATGAAGCATTTCAGTATGATGGGATTATGGTGGAAAAGAGGGAGGATAGAGGAAGGAGCCAGTGATGTAATTGGTGCATTTGGCAGGGACCAGATTTAAAAAGAACTTTTAATCTGGCATTTGTATTTTCTCAAGTGTGCTATGGGAGTGTTTAGATTATTTTAAACAGAGAAGGTAGGAAACTAGAGAGTGTTTTGAATAAGATGACTGGGGCTGCATGTGGAGAAACGATTGGAAGGGGAGCACAATAGAGACAGGGAGAACAGTTGAGAGGCTGCAGCAGGAATTCTTAGGGAAAACGATGGTGGCCTGAACTAGGATAGAAGTGGTAGAGCTCAAGAGAAGTTGGTGAGCTTCATAAATGTTTCAGAAGTAGAAGAAAAGTGCTCTGATGCTTGGTAATGGGGAGAGAGAGAAAGAGAGAGGAAGGACTCAAGGTAACAGGTTTTGGTAACTGGTTGGCCGGAGGTGCTGCTGTCCAGTGACTTGGGGAACATTTGAGAAGGAGATGGCTTGGGGTGGGGAAGGAGAAGATAAACAGGCCAATTCAGGTTCAGTTTTGGCTGATTATGGGCCATCTAAGGGGGGAAGTCTCATAGATAATTAGATATTTAGGCCTCAAGTTCACAATCGATTTGACCTTGACTTGTGGATAAAGGAGTCATCAGATGACTGATGTCATGGGAGTGATGAAATCCCCCAGATTATATCTGCTAATAAAAGTCAAAAATAATCAAATGACAAAACTCTGAAGAGCTTCAGCACCAGCATTAAATAAGGAAGAGAAGAGGAAAAATCATCAAGGCAATTGAGAAGGAGCAGCCACTTTTGATAGAGGAAAAGCCATAAAGTCCCTATCACAGAAGGAAGGAAAACAGGCTTTGCAGGGAGGGAAATTTTTTTTTTAGAGTGTTGGAAAGTTGCATGTTTTTCTGAGAGGTCAAGAAAAGGCTAAAAAGATTACATCAATTAGCACCTTGGAGGTCACTGGTGACCTTGGTGACAGTGGTTTCAGTGGAACAAAATCTGGGTGAGCAAAAGTGGAAGAGGGAAAGGTGAGGTAATAAACACATGTGTTGTGGAATTTTAGCTATAATAGGGGTCCAGAAGGAGCCGGATAGAGTTTAAGGATGATGTTAGGATTACTATGGAAAAGAATTATGCATGTTTAGAATAAGACTATCTGAAACAGCTGTCTAATTTTAAAACTTACCCCCATTTTAAAGCTTTCCATTACAATATTCTTCAGGTTTTCTATGTTATGTCTCTCTTCCTTTGCTTTTTAGTATTGAAGAAAGGAACATTTAAGTGAGTATGGATTTTATTTTCCCAACTTGGTAGTGAATCATCAATTTTTCTCATGAGGTCCCTTTAAAATGTGTGGACAGAGTTGATTTATCTCATGTTTCATGAATTCCACTTTAATCTCCAGTGCCCCATTTTTCAAGTTTAGAAATATGAAATAGGCAACCACTTCTTTACTTACACGTGATTCTGAGTATTCTTGTATACAGATTGTATGGAGATAGCTGTTTTGTGGCATCTTGTTTGACTATTCCAATCCCCATAATTCAGAGGGATGTATTTGGGCACATAAATTTCAACTTTCATTTAAGTCCACCTTTTTCTTTCAGGAGATGCTGATTAAATTTCTGCAGTCAGTTCCAAATTCATTCTTAAATTGAGAAACACCAGAATGCTGATGCATTCCAAAAGTCTACTCTGGTTTATTAGAACTTTGGTTGGCTTGGCTTCCAGATTTATATTTTTCAATTCTTTTCAAGTAGCTAGAAGAAATAAGGAGATATTTATTTCCAGTTGCAAGAAAGAGTCTGCATGTTGATGATTGATTAATTCTTCCATGAACTCTTTGGTTCATATATAACATATAGAAAAAGAATTATAAAGACTTAATTCTATGTGATACTATATGTGCAATTAATACAGTTTACATTTTATTTTTAAAAACTGGCAAATTAAGTTATTTATATTAGTGATAAACTTTTTTTTTTTTTTTTTAAATATGAGATGGAGTTCTGCTCTGTTGACCAGGCTGGAGTGCAGTGGCATGATCTTAGCTCACTGCAACCTCTCTCCCTGGGGTTCAAGCAATTCTCATGTCTCAGCCTACTGAGTAGCTGGGATTGCAGGCACCTGCCACCATGCCCAGCTAATTTTTTTGTGTGTGTATTTTTTGTAGAGACAGGGTTTTACCATGTTGGCCAGGCTGGTTTCAAACTCTTGACCTCAAGTGATCCACCTGCCTTGGCCTCTCAAAGTGCTAAGATTACAGGCATGAGCAACCCACACCCAGCCCCAATAAACTCTTTAAAATTTGATTTCAACTGTTGGAATTCTTTATGTGAATAATCTTTCCGTTAGTTAATGTGATGTCATAACTACCTTTTAAATAGTGTGCTAAGTACAGTGGTGGAAATTTTAAATAAATTATCTCAAAATGGCAACAATCATTATCTAAGTCTTAGAGGGGTTTATTTCTTTTTTCAATTTTACAAGTAAGACAGAAAGCTGAAGTGACTTGGGTACAGCTTCCTAGATATCCTAAAATGGATCAAGTCCTTTTGTTGTACATTTTCAATATGCCTTGTACTTCTAATACCTAATATCCACCACAATACTGGTTGGTTAATTAATCAAAAGTGATAATTGTTCCTTGACTAGCTTGACTTGAATGTGAAGTCTTTTATAGCAGAGACAATGCCAATTTAATTTACCCTTCTATCACTAGATCCTGGCATAGAGCCTGCTGACTTGTAGATGCTCATCAAATAAACAACTGATTTGGCATGACATAGCTGAAAAATGGGGAACTTAAATATAAATGCTGGTCATTTACTTCACTGATGATTTACTATTTAACCCACACATTAAAATTTTCTTTTATTGATATAGTGGCAATCAACACATGAAATTTGCTTAACACATAATTGTATTTTAGGCAGTTCACCCAATAGTCACACCTAATTGTGACCTAATAGCTCATAAACATTTTAAGTCAAATTTATGAAAAACAAAATACCATGAGAATAGGAAAAAGCTAATTTTGTTAATTATAAAGTCATGAAATAACTGAGAGTTGAAAGACAATTTAACATCCAAATCATAACCATAAATGTGTGGAAGCAAGATTTGTTTTTCTACTATATTCCTATTGTCTGACAAGTGTCTAGTATACAACAGGTATTCGATAAGTGCTAGTTGCATGAATTAATTCCTTTTACAAATGAGAAAAAATGCCTAGAAAGGGTATTGACTAGCCAGCTTATGGTAGACCTGTAACTAGGGGGCTGGTCTCTTGACTGCAAGCCTCTTGCTCCTTCCTTTAAATTAAAATAACATCTAGCATTTATCTGTAATATTTTTCAATATTTAACACAATAATCTGAAGAGTTTTACAAGGAGAAAATTATTTTTCTAGAAAATTGAAGCTCAAAGTTAAAGATTTTCTCCAGATCCTTGATTCTCAAAGGTGGTCCCTGGACAGTAACATTAGCATCACCTTAGAACTTAGAACACCACTTTAGACACACAAATTTTCAGGCCTTATCTCAGACCCACTGAATCAGAAACTCTGGGTGTGGTTTCTCAGCAATCTGTGGTTTAACAAGCCCTCTAGATGATTCTAATCATGCAGCAGTTAGTTAGGGAACTACCAGTGTTGGAAATGTGACTCTTATGGTTAAACTTGGATTTAGATAAATTACTCTGAAAGCCTCATGGAGAGTAGATTAGAATAAGGCAAGATGGAAACCTGGAAGTCCGTTTACGAAGATAGCTTCTTTTCTCTCTTCTCCTTCACTCCAAAGTCTTCACATTTGTTTTCTCCCTCTTTAATATGTCTGTTGACTTACTACTTTTATTTTATTTTATTTTATTTTATTTTATTTTATTTCTAGTTGACCAATAATAATTGGATATATTTATAGGGTACAATGTGATGTTTTGATACATGTATACAATTGGAATATTCAAATCAGGCTAATTAACATGTTTATTATCTCAAATATTATTTCTTTGTGGTGAGAACATTAAAAAATCCTCTTTTTTTTTTAAGCTATTTTGAAGTATACAATACATTATCATTAACTGTAGTCACCACACTGTGCAGTAGATCACCAAAACTCATTCCTTTTGTCTAACAGGAACTTGGTACCCATTGCTAACATCTCCCCTTGCCTGTCTATGCTCCTTCTTTTCTTGATTCTCCTTGGTACAAGGGGATGGGTAGCGAACATTCTGAAAGGCTATTAATTATTCTTTACTTACAGTATTTGTAGAATGTAAGGAAGACCATTTTAATCCTTTTTTTTTTTTTGCTAATCCCAACTCTATTTAAAGTTATTGAGTTAACATGTTTACAGTAAAAAAAACATGTACTGAAGGGTTTACATGAACTCTTCAAGAAAGTTGAATGTGATTCCAGTAATGGTTAAAACCTGGTGCTAATGAAGTCAGGGCTGTAGCCTCAGTTCCTCTATGGATCAATTAACTTCCCCTGTTAAAGTATCTTGGAATTCACCACTCAGTGAACTTGGGGTGCCATTCTCTTGGTAATTAAGCAGATCAGGTGAGGCAAAAAAGATGCATGGTTTACTGCAAATTTATTATTCTTTTCAGAAAATGCCTTCAGAAGCCCAGCTGATGTTTTGAAACATTTCATTTACACATTGACATCAGAGACATATGCTTCTATTCCCTATAGCTGCTGTGTTGCGTTTTGATATTTGAACGAAAATGATGCTTTGGAGGCTTAAAAAATGGACTTTCCTTCTGAAGTACCCAGGAGAGTAGGTAAGAGAATAGATCTTCCTATTCAGAACTTCAGAATGTGTAAGATGCTGGACTAAAACAGTCACAGAAATCATTATTTGTGTCTGTGAGTCCCTACTGGGTTTTCTGACAGGGACCTCATTTTACAACTGTGGCCATTTATGCATACTGGCAGATATACCCCTGCCCAGATGGGGAACAGGACCTGTTGTATAGCATAAATTTAAGAAGCTCAGTTCTAGCATTTTCCAAGCATTGTTTATTGTATTTCACTCTGGGGTTCTGTTTTTTTGTCTGAGCTTCATACCGAAACCAAACTAAATTATATATCCATTCTATGTCATCTCTCTTGTTTTCTTGTGCTTGAGTTTCTCTTTTGATAATGTGCCTGGTTCTTCTATGATTGGTAAAAATCACTCTATTCACTCCTTCCTTCCTTCCTTCTTTCCTTCCTTCCTTCACAAGGAACTACTTCCTTCAACAAAACTACTACTGCCTGTGTAAGACACAATGTTAGAAATTTGGCGTGATGAGAGAATTGCTTGAGCCCGAGTTCAAGAGCAGCCTGGGCAACATAAAAAGACCTTGTCTCTACAAAAAATTAAAAACAAAAAAATTAGCCAGGCATAGTGGTGTGTGCCTGTGGTCTCACCTACTCAGGAGGCTGAGGTGGGAAGATGGGTTGAGCCAGGAGGTCAGGCGGCAGTGAGCTGAGATTGTGCCATTGCACTCCAGCCTAGGTGACAGAGCAAGATCTTGTCTCAAGAAAAGAAAAAAAGGAGAGAGAAAATAAAGAAAAAAACTGGGCCTGAGCCATGATCTTGGCAACTAGCCATTTATTACCCCTTCCTTATACACTGGAGGTTTGAAATCTGCTTCCAAACTTCAGTGCCATGTCTGTGTATTCATGTCTGTTACTGCTGCAGACTTAATTGCCTGGATATCCAATAATGCTTCCCGAGGATTCGACAGTCCTACACTTGTTCCAACACCTGCATTCCTTCATTCAGGACCTCTCTGATGGCTCTTCTGGCTTATTGTCTCCATGCTTTCTCTGCTTCTGACTTTCATCCATTGTCTGCAGCTGAGTGCATTTCTGCTCTGCCTGATCCCAATCTCCACTTTTCTCTCAGAATGTCCATCTGAGAGAAGAGGATAGGTTTTCCAGTTCCTCCTGCCACATCTTGTGTTGAATTATATATTTGATAAATAATGATTAATTTCTTATTATTTGCTGAGTGTGGATGTGGAAATAGAAAGAGGAGTAAGATAGAAATTCCAGTCTCAGGAGACTGTTACAAATAGAGTAGATTCTCCCTAATTGTGAGGACAAGGAGATTTTGCAGTTGAGGTACTTAAGATTTTGGGGGGATAATACAGTTATAGAGGTGTTAAATGCAAACTTGCATGAATCTTCTGTGTATTTTCTCTAAAACAGAACCATCAGGACAGCATGCTAAACAAAGAATATCAGTTAACATTTTTCACACCTTAAATTAATAATAATGGTTATGTTACAGTTGCTTTCCATTTACCATCTCTTGGTCAATTGAAATTTCTTGGGGTCTTTCTCTTCTGCCATTTCAGTCAAATGCCCATAAATTTGCTTTGCTTTGCCAAAATAATATACATATAAAAGATCTTTCCCCCTGAATCTGGTTCTCCAACCAAATGTGCAATGCCTTTCTGATTTCATGATTTCAAATTGTTGACTTCTGCATCCTCAATCCCAGAGATAACTCCCCAAAGTACGTGCCATCAAGCCCCTCTTACATAAATGCCACTTCCCTCCTACCTTGCAACTGCAGGAGTTCCACTTTAAGGTCCTGGTTGATGTCTCCTCAGATTCCCTAATTTCCTAAAGCCTCAAGGCAAAAAACTCTGTTACTGTCATTCCATCTGCTTTCTTTTATTTTTTTATTTTTTATTCTCATTCGCCCAATTTCCTCTTTTTCTAATTATCCTCAAAAGGAGTGGCTCATGATTCTTTTATACTGGAACTAAAATTGTTGTGGTTCAGAAAAAATATACAAAGCACAACTGGGTATACTGAAATACCTTGTTTATTAAAATTTGATGTAGAGGCAATTCATTCATGGGTGGAGGTTACTGTAACTTACCTGAGAAAATAATGCATTAGCTCTTTAAAACAAAGATACTTTTCCTTAATGCAGTGAACAATGTATAACAAGGTCTAAGGGAGTTAAAAAGTAACTGGTTCTACTTGGGGAAATTGAGGAAACTTCCAGGAGAAGGGAATACTGGAACTGAATCCTGGAGAAATTCACTGAAACAGAAGGGAAAGGAAAACCCTTTCTCGGAAAGATGATAAAATATTTGTAATGAGGTGGCATTTATTATAATTTGTACTTATACAGTTAATGTTACTATAATGTCCCTCTAGAACAGTGATTCTAAATCCAAGGTGATTTTGTCCCCCAGGGGATGTTTGGCAGTGTCTGGAGATATCTTGGACTGTCGTAACTGGAGGCAGGAGTGTATGCAATAGCATCTAGTGGAAAGAGGCCAGGGCCAGGGGTGCTGCCAAGCACCCTATCATACATGGGACAGAGCTGTAACAAAGAAGTGGTAATTAGAATTACTCACCTCAAATGTCAGTATTGTCACTGCTCTATAAGGTAAGTCCCACAAGGGCTAGAACCTGTCTTCTTCACTACTGTGTTTTAAAACCTATCACGGTTACAGTCAGAGTTGATACTCATTTAACTTTTGCTAAGTGAAGAAAGGCATGAAAGAGAAGGCATGTTTGGGAAAGAGCAATATGTATGTTAGTAGTTGGGGTATAATTAAAGAGTGGTAGGAAAATAAGGCTGCTGATGTTATAGAGAAAAATAATGGAGGACACCTTGTGTCATATTGAGGAATCTTCCTTTACTATATTGTCCATGAAGAACCACTGGAGGGTTTTATGTGGGAGAGTGACGCCAACTGATTTTGTTTTAGTAAGATAACCAAGCAGCAGTGCAGAGTTCAGAGACTCGGCAGGCACTTAGAAGGATATTGTAAGAGTGCGGCCAAGGGATAGTGAGGCCCTAACCTAAGCTGAAGCAGTAAAGATAGAAGAAGAGAGATGTTTAGGACCTGGAATTCATAGGACTTGGTGATCAATTAAATATGGAAAGCGGAGGTGAGTGTTCTAGCTTAGACTAGTAAGTGGGTGTTGGTATCGTTACTTGGAATGAGGAAGACAGGAGAAGAAACAGGATTTGTGTATATGCATGTATATGTACTTGGCTTTGAATATTATTAAAACCTTAGTTTGTATCATTATCAACAAGGCTTTTATGTCACCATTACCCAGGTACAGAAGCTATCAAGATACATAATTCCAGTTTTAAGGAGCTGTCATGTTCATAGCAGCACTACTAACAGTGGACAAAAAGGTGAATATGACCCAAATTCCATCAGCAGATGAATGAATAAACAAAAGTCTGGCATATCCATACAATGGGACTTTATTCAGCCATAGAAAGGAATAAGGTGGATACATATGCTACAGCATGGATGAACCTCGAAAATGTTAAGTGAAGGAAGCCAGACACAAAAGGTAAGACACTATATAATTCAATTTACATGAAGTATTCAGAATAGCTAAACATACATGGAGACAGAAAGCATGTTAGTGGTGGGGAGGCGCTGGTGGGAGGGGATAATTGGGAATAATTGCTTAATTGGAGCAACGTCTCCTTTGAGGATGTTGACAATGTTCTGGAACTAGTTAATGGTTACCGTTGCATAGCACTGTGAATGTATTAAATGCCACGGAATTTTACACATTGAGATGGTTTATGTTATGAACATTTCATGTGAAAAGCAGTTTTAAGGGAAGCACAGAGCCTCATGAGAAGGAAAGATGAGTAAAAATATGGGAAATCAATGTAAGCCATTTATAATGACCTCAAATAATACAAAACGTTCTTCAAACTGGAGAAACTGTCTGGATACAGCTTCACCAGCAATGAAAGCCCATGGCAGGAGCAGGGAGTGAGAAAAGATTTAGGAGACCATTTGCTCTGTTTTTACAGTCCTGATGGCCACACTTCATGTGAGAGATAGTGGAGTTATTCCAGAGACATAAAGTGGTTCCATCAATGTCTTGTGACCCCTCAAAGGCAGATGTCTGAAATAGAACTGTTCATCAATTCTTTGAACTTAAATCTATCTTTTCCTTCTAGATACCTTGTCTCCAAAATATTTGCAGAAAGTAAAGCCAGAAAATGGCAGTGGTAATTAGAAGAATTTTAAATATAATAGAAAAAGAATTGTTTAAGAAAGCAGAATGGAAACTCTTGATACAACTTAAAATTGTAGGCTCTTTAATGTTTTGGATGATTTTCTCATACAAATTAAAATTGTAGGGTCTTTAATGTTTTACATGAATTTCTCAAATTCATTGAAAAAATTAAGGAATCTCTACTACTTGTTTTTAAAAATGAAGAATGGGCGAAAAATGTACTGTAGGGAATAATAAGAAACTTGCTGAGCAGTCTCACTATTAACTGAAGGTATTTTCCTAAGATAAGATTACTACATATACGCTCTTATTTTCTACATCTCTTTTAAAAAAGAAAATATTATTTCTTGTATGTTTATATTTTCTTTCAAGTAAGATAATGAAGAGCTTGTATCACTGAATAGTTAGGATATCTTCATTTCTCAATATTACTTAACCTACCTCTTTCTCATGTGAATCATTTCTTATTCATTCAGCAACCACGTACTGAATCATAGGAAGTGAGGATAGAAGGATGCTTCAGATGACAATTGCCTTCAAGTTGCTCATAATTTAGAGGGCATGCATGAGAGATAAATAATGTGAAAAAGATAAGTGATAGAAGTCTTTCTGTGGGAAAACAGAAATAAGTCTTCCAGCTTTGCCTGAGAATATTAAGATGGATCCCCAAGAAGAGAAAATCAATCTTGATGGGTGAGGATTTGTTGGGTTGGCACTCCAGGAAGGAAAGAGGAATATGCAAAATCATGGCATCATGGTTCAATCAGGTGGTTCACTTACTAAATATGTATTTTATGTCTACTATGTCTCAGGTACTGTGATGGGATTTGGGAATCTAAGGCAAGAGGATTCCTGCAGAAAAGATGGGTATTAAACAAATCTACAGAATAAACTGTAATGAAATATCTTACAGGAAATATGTAGGGTGCTATGGGAGTACATAGGAGGAGTCCTGATCTAGTTATGGGGCATAGAGAAGGACTCTGAGGAAGTGACAAACTCAGAACCACAATGGTGTCATAGCTCGGACTGCTGTAATTTAATAGATTAGGTGGCTTAAACAACAGACAGTATTTCTCACAGTAATGGAGGCTAGGAAGTCCAACATCAGGGTGCCAGCAAATTTAGTTGCCAGTGAGGACTCTCTTGCTTGCAGACACACTGTGCCTTTGCATGGCAGAGAAAAAGAGAAAGAGAAAAAAAAAAAAAAAGAGAAAGAGAGAGAGGGCACACTCTGGTGTCTCTTCTTACAAGGACACTAATCTCATTGTGGGGTCCCTATCCTCATGACCTCATGTAAAAATAATTACATGTCAAAGCCCCCAGTTCCAAATACCATCACATTGGGGGCTTCAACAAATGAATTTTTGAGGAACACAAACATTCAGTGAATAATAAATGGGTACAAGTTAGTGGAGGGAAGGAAGATGAGTGAGATACGATTTAATTCATGCAAGTACATTTCAAGTTAGCCAGAGGATAATTAGGGAGGGCCTTGAAAGGCATGTTAGAAATTTACTTTAACAATGAGAACCCACTGAAAGTGTTAAATCCTAACCCAAATATGAACTCTAACCTTGCTGTAATTCTAACTCTGATCAGATGTGTGTTTAGAAACACAACTCCATGGCCTAGAGAATGGATTGGAGCAGGTAAGCGGAACTTGAGAGACTCTTCATGATGACAGATGAATTGTGGTAGGGTGTGCGGGTGAGGACATTGAGGCTGAAGAGAATTAGGTGAATTTGGGATGTGAGAATTAGGAAAAAAAAGTAATTAAATATGACTACCAGGTTTTTGCCTTGTGGTAACATTTCTGAGACAGAGAGTCCTGGCAGAACTTGAGGGCTTGAAAATACAGAATTCCTTTTTAGGCATGCTGTAGTTGAAATACCTCCATGTAATTCCCTATGGCTTCAGCCTGGGCTGCCTGTGGGAAAGAATCAGAAAAGAAGTGAAGAAGTAGACACCAGTGCACATATCATAGAGGCAGCTAGATATATTGCTAGGAATGAGGAATCATTGAGGGATTCTCTACAGGGCATTTCTTGGTGTGATTTGTGGTTTAGAACAGTTATTCTGGCAGTGGGAAGGTTGGCTCATGGGGACTAATATTGGATGCGGTCAGCTAAGGAGCGGTTGCATCATGAAACATGGTGGTAGTAGGTTAAACAGGGTAAGAATTAGATTTCAGAGATAGCTGCATAACATTTGTTGATAGAATATCAGGGTTAAAAGAAGAATCGAGAATATCTAAATTTCCATTAAAGTGTTGAATGGATGATAGTTTCATTAACAGAGCAAGGAGGGGAAAGGCAGACTTCTGAATTTGAACTTAGATTTGGACATGGAATGCTTTGCAGAACACACTCCTGACTAGCAGGCAGCAGCTGCTGGCTTCTGTGGCAGTGCATGGATAGCTTTATTAATGCCTACTCATTTCAATTTCCCTCTATAACTTCTTTCTTTCTCTTGAATTTTAAGGATGGACTTCTTATCTCCCTACACTACCCCTTGGAGAAAACCTTTTATCAAGGAGATACTGAATATCATCACTGATGTAAGCAGGGTCTCTTAAGATCCCAGTGACTGCTGGTCTGGTCTGAAGGGTCCAAGATGGCTTTGTTCACATGTCTGTTGCCCTAACAGAGATGACTAGAAGGCCGAGCTCAGCTGGAACTGTTTACTGAAATGCCTATATCTGGCACTTCTAGCATAGCAGGAAGATTTCTTCTTTGGCTCCCAGAGAGTGTTCTAAGACAGCAAAGAGGAAGCTGCAAGACTTCTTCTGTTTTAGTATTGGAAGTTATGCAGTGTCACTTCCACTACATTCTGTAGAAAAGAGAGCCACAATGCCAACTGAAATCGAAGAGGATGGAATTACACAAGGACATTTTTACTTGGAAGCATGTTCATTAGGGAGCAACTTCTGGAGATTGCTTTATACACATTTGGCTTTTGTCAAACAAATTCTCACTGTACTTGCTCATGCCACACATATTCCTGCATCTAGAGCTTTAACTGTGTTGATCTTCCCAAAACGTTCCTTCCTCCTTTTACTTTCCCAGACCCTACCTGTCCTTCCAGGCTTGTTCAGTTTCAACTTGAGCATTTACAGTCTTTCTTTGAATACTCTAGTTCTTAAAACATCTTCCCCATTTTTGAAATACAATAGCATTTATAGTCTGATGGTAGGAACAGAAAGAAGACTGAGTTGAAGATATTTTGGTAAAATTAACAGGACAAAACGCCTATTTGGGTATTGTAGGCTAGCAATAGGAACCAGTTGGAGATGATATTGTAGCTTTGAGCCTTGATAGCTGAGAGGATTGAGTACCATTCACAGAATCATGAAACACCAGATGGGCAGTGGGTGTGGGGGAAAATGTTAATTCCCTTTTGAAATATGTTACTTTGAAGGCATAGTGGAAGAGCCAGGTAAAGGAGTTGTGCAAACAATAAAGAAAGAGAAATGGAGGATTAGAAAGAGATGAGGATTAGAGAAGTAGATCTGGAAGCCTCCAGGCAAGGAGATGCTAGTTGAGTCTGTGGGATTGAATAAGCCTGCCGAGGAGAATTTGTGGAGATGGAACAGAAAGTATCCAATGACAGACTTGCAGCAGAGAGAATATGATAATTCAGAGAAGAAAAAAAGAGAGATAAGAAGAGACCTGGGGGAGTGCCAGGGAGAGCAGATCTTCATAAGCCTAAAAAGAAGGGAGCTTCTAGAAGGTGAAAATGGTCAAGTGTTAATGCTGAAAATGTGTTTTAGAAGCAGAGGACTAAAGAAGATCGTGATTATGAGGTCATTGACTATGAATCTGGAAATTGTTAGGAGGAAACCTGATTGTATCCAGTATAAGTGGCCATGGGGTTAGGAAGCAGAAAAAGTGAGGCCAGACTGGCCACTTTTTCAAGAAGTTTAGCAGTACAGGAAAATAGGATGTCTTCTCTAATAGAATTACAAACAGAACTTTTAATGATGACTGTTCTTATTGGATGGTAGTCATTAAGGAAAGTAATGTGCCTTTGCATGTGTCTCTGTGTTTGCATGTGTGTGTGTGTTTTCCATGTGTGTGTAAGTGTATACTGTGCAGCAATGTTTTCTAAGCCCAGATCTGTATTTAAACCACTGGAGGAGCCAATTACACTTTCTAAGGCCCAAAACCAGACTTACTGAGTACGACTTTTTTATTATTTATTTATTTTTGAGACAGGGTCTCACTCTGTCACCTAGACTGGCATGCAGTGGTACAATCTTGGCTCACTGCAACTTCTACTTCCTGGGTTCAAGTGATTCTCTTGCCTCAGCCACCTGAGTATCTGGAATTACAGGTGTGTGCTACCATGCCGGGCTAATTTTTTTAATCTTTAGTAGAGATGGGGTTTTGCCATGTTGGCCAGGCTAGTACTGAACTGCTGGCCGCAAGAGATCCACCTGCCTTTGCCTCCCAAAGTGCTCGGATTAGACATGAGCCACCTTGCTGGTCCTGAATGCGAATTTTTGAGGCTGGGCCTCAAGTATCTGTAGGTTAAAAACTGCTCACAAGCTGACTTAAGGGTTTTGGTATATCCAAGGACCTTGAGTTTCAGAAAATAGTTGATATTTTTATGGGGGTAGGGCTAATATTCAGTTAGGTTGTCAGAATAAAAAATTGCAAAATGAAAACTACAATAAGAATTCAAGATGTGGCTAGGTGCGGTTGCACACATATGTAATCCCAACACTTTGGGAGACTGAGGCTGGAGGATTGCTTGAGTCTTGGAGTTCAAGACCAATCTGGGCAACATAGTGAGACCCCTGTCTCTACAAAAAGTAAAAAAATTAGCTGGGTGTGGTGGCACATACCTATAGACCCAGCTTCTCAGGGGGCTAAAGTGCAAGGATCACCTGAGCCCAGGGAGGTCAAGGCTGCAGTGAGCCATGATCATGCCACTGCATTCTTTTTATACCAGGACCCTCTATCGGAAAATAAAATAAAATAAACATTAAAAATTCAAGATGTAAAGAAGTAAAAATGGAAGACAAATATTTCTAATTGAAGACCAACAGTTTAGTAGCTACAAAAGTCAAAATTTTATATAGATTTTCTTTTTTCTCTTTTGCCTCAGCAAGCAATGTGGACAATTTTATGAAAATCCATCATCAGAATTCCAAGGCATTTTCCTTTCCTTTCCTTTTTTTTTTTGCTGGGCTGGGGGAGAAGGATAAAAAGAATGTGGTTTGTGAGGCAAGTTAAACCTCAAGAGTTTTTTCAAACTAAACACTCCCTAGCCATTTGATGTCTGGAAGTCTGGATATTGGGGGCAGGGAAGTTAGCAGAGCTGTGGCTGTAGGACCATTTGTCATTTCCTGGGAGGTGCCTGTGCTTAACCCTTAAGGGAAGCACATTTGAACACACTGGGCTTTGACCAAGAGGAGGTCCAACCCTCCACTTTTTCTTTTTCAGATTGGTGTTTTCTTTCCCTACTTCTCAGTAGGAAAGACTGGCTTTCCTTGAGGGAGAAGCAAATAGCAGCGCCATTTGGATGTCAACGATATCAGTGCTGTTTAACACCTCTGTGTTTTCACACTTTCTTGTGATAATCCAAAATACAGAAACAGTGTCACATATTATTAATCATTTTTAGATAGGAATGCATTCATACTGTTATGTTGTGTGTATTTTCACAAGAAAATCTTTGTCAAAACTGAGTCTGGCTTTTGTTTGGAAACTGGTATGCCAGGAAAGTGTTACAAAATCCTGTCTCTCCTTAAAGTATAACAGCTGGTAAGAAAGCACAGCATCTCTCTCCCTCCCAGCCCTGGAGTTGTACTAAGTAGCTCACTGCCAATACCATCCCCCATATCCTCTCTCCACTTAGTAAAATCCTTTGCTAAGTTGATATCTAGCGATAGGCAAAGGAAGCAGCTTGGGTTCATTAGCTGCTTATTATCCTAGATAAGAAGGAGCTTTTAAATGCAATAACTTGTATGCCATCTCCAAGATTTGTAGTTAGAGTGCTGTTCCTGAAAAGGAATAATTCAAGATGAGGAGTGGTCTTAGCCTTATTGAGAGCCTGAGCTAGAATTGGAAGCCCCAAACCAAAAATCAAAATCAAGTCTGAAAGCTCTACCTCTTCAATTATGTGAACACCACTTGGCAGCTTTTTGCTGTATGCAGCTTACAGTAGATAACAACTTCCATTGTCCCTCTAATCAGTGTCTTACAGAACTGAGCTTGCTACAAATAAACAGGGACACAAAAATGAAGTGTCCGCAAAACAGCACACCCTTGGGTCATCGTAATAACCACTTAGGTTGAAGAGAAATCCGCAGGATTCATGAAGTCCTTAACTAAACACATTAAGAAACTATATATTACATTCTCCCCAAGTTAGAATAAGTGCTTTAAATAGCAGTCAGGAAGGAGAGGTTGGAAAGTTGATCTCAGAATTGCCCCTCTATCTCTCTCAAATAAAGCGTCCGTGTGTAACTCTCATCTTTTGAATAAAATTAAGTCCACAAGGAAATAAAAGCAACTCATTTAAATCCAAGGATAGGCTGGGTGGATCCAATACATTTAAATGTTTATGTGAAAGCTACCAAAGTGACTTAAAAGGTAGAAACTGGGGAGAGAAAGAGAGAGAGAGAGATATCACAAAAGTTTTTTAAGCACATACATTCAGCTACAGAAAGGATGTCTGGTTTCTCTGATGAGGGCTGAGGGCAAACTCCCTCTGTGAGGGCGCCTCTCACCCTCATAGAGAGAGGTTGAGCCACGCTGGCTTCTCTCCAGAAGGGAGGGTGGCGGAGCCACCACCAGGCTAAGGTCCAGCTGGTCAGCTATGTGGCACTGCTGCTATTGTTGAACAAAATTCTTTCCTCATTACATATCTTTTCTCAATTTAATAGAAAGTACAGTTTGGGATTTTTCTCTTCATGAACTTGAAGGCAATCAGAAAAGAGAAGCGTATTTTCTCCTCATTTCATGAGGAACTAACTTGCTGAATCTATAGCCTGATGCTTCTTTATATTTTAAGATACGTAAAATGAAGTCTAAGGACACAGAGAAAAAAACCCAGAAACTTGATCAGTTCTATAGGATGAATATTCAAGGACAATCCATAATTTACCACAGACAAGTCTGTTAAGGTTGATTGGCAGTTTTTAATGGACTCTGATTGGTTGGTGCTTTGCTTTAACTTAGTTGTGTGAATTTAATGATCAGCCTAATATTGTTCCCATCATATATGTTAAGGGCGACTTCTAGAGTTGGGGCATTAATATTTTTGGCAAATTGTTAGAAACTTGGCAAGCATAGAAATGAGAGAGGGCTGAAATACCCGTTGATTATCATTTCTTTCATCTGTAAATCAGGGGTAATATTTTCAAAGTCTATTTAATAGAATGATGAACAGAACCATTATTTGTGAATTAATTAATTGCTCTTGAAAGTGAAATGGAAGGTGAGAGATGAGGATCCAGTTTCATTCTCCTACATGTGGCTAGCCAGTTAGCCAATCCCACCATCATTTGTTGAAAAGGGTGTCCTTTCTTCACTTTATATTTTTGTTTTCTTTGTTGAAGATCAGTTGGCTGTAAGTATTTGGGTTTATTTCTGGGTTCTCTATTCTGTTCCATTGATCTATGTGCCTACATTTATACTACTACCATGCTGTTTTGGTGACTATGGCCTTATAGTATAGTTTGAAATCAGGTAGTGTGATGCCTTTCCTCACTGATATGTGGCAACTAAGCTATGTGGATGGAAAAGCATAAGAATGATACAATGGACTTTGGGGACTTGGAGGGAAGGATGGGAGGGGTGAGGGATAAAAGAGTACAAATAGGGTGTAGTGTATACTGTTCAGATGATAGGTGCACCAAATTGTCACAAATCACCACTAAAGAACTTACTCATGTAACTAAATACCACTTGTACCCCTATAACTTGTGGAAAAATAAAATAGTAAGACAAATTTTTAAAAAAGAAAATCAAATATAAGGGTTTTGCAAATTATAAGTCAGTGATTCCCAACTGGAGTGGGGAAAATGGAGGAATAGGAATATTAGTCACCTCAGTTTATAACTTAAGACTATAGCCAGATTTGAATACATCAGTTCATGATGTTTCCTCTCAGTTTTAGGCACTGAGGCTTCTAATTCCTGGCTAATATGATGCCAAAGTAAGAGAATTTGCATGATCAATTATCATTGAGTTGGCACTCAACTCAATGATACGTAGAAATTCTGGGTCCCTACCCCAGATCTACTGAAACAGAATCTTTAGGGGCTAGCCCAGCAATCTATGTTTCAGCAAATTCTCTAGGTCATTCCGATGTTCACTTAAGTTTGAGAACCACAGATCTAGTCTAATCCTATTGACTACTTGGTAATATCACCTGCTTGAAAAATGACAATAATTTTTGTCTCTCAGCATCTACTTCCTTCTATTCATCCTCCTTTTCATGGTCACTAATTATCTTCTAAAGTACCATTTTAATCATGTCATTCCTCTTCTCAGAATGTCTAGGAGAACACTGATTACCTGACACATCTGTTTCTACAGATATTGTAGCTAAAAGGGGCCCTCGTAAGGAAGTCCAGCCATAAAAAAAAAATATTCTTAGGCAGGCAAGTAGGGTGAGTGTGACAAATCAGGTTATAAATCCTCTGCATCAAATTGGCCTACTTATATCTACTTAAAATACATTTGCAGGCAGCTTTGGGGAGTGGGAGATACAGGAAAAAAGGGAGATGCCACGAAAGCAACTTGAGAACTGGGGCATGTCTTTAGAAGGGGCAGGGAGACTAGGACCCAAGCCACTGTTTTTGATATTTGTCATAGTCAGACCTCTTTTTTATTTTCCTTCTTTCTTGGAACTAGCTCAGTGTGGTGTATTAGTTTGCTAGGGCTGCTGTAACAAAGTATCACAAAGTGGGTCGTGTAAACCTCATCTCCACCCTTTTTGGCATCACGGACAGGGGTGGGAGGGGGATGGTTTCAGGATAAAATTGTTCCACCTCAGATCATCAGCCACTAGTCAAATTCTCATAAGGTGTGCACAACCCAGTTCCTTTGCATACACAGTTCCCAGTAGGGTTTGCGCTTGTATAAGAAGCTAATGCCTCGATTATGATCTCACCCTCAGCTTACCTCCTGCTGTGTGACCCTGTTCCTAAAAGGCCAAGGAACTTGGCCCAGGAGTTGGGAATCACTGGGATAAGCAACAGAAATATATCGTCTGACAGTTGTAGAGGTTAGAAGCCTAAGATCTAGTCATTGGGAAGACTGGTCCCTTCTGAGGACTGTGAAGGAGAGAGCTCTTCCTGGCATCACTCCTTGGCTTGCAGATGATCGTCTTCTCCCTGAATCTTCACTTTGTCTTTCCTCTGTGCCTGCCTCTGTGTCCAAATGTCCCCATTTTATAAAGACAGCAATCATATTGGATTACAGCCCACCCTAATTACTTCATTTTTAATGGCTTACTTGTTTAAAAACTGTATCTCCTATAAAGTCACATTCTGAGATACTAGAGGTGAGGATTCAACACAGGAATTCTGGGGGGGGGGGTCAGAATCCAATCCATAACATGGCGTTGCCACCTTTTCCTGTATGCTTGAGTGGTCCTACAAGGAATAGTTTACAGGAGGGTAGTGAGTGGAACAGATGCCATACAGAAAAAATTTAAAAAGAAATGTTCACTCAGGGAACAGCTATGGGATTAACTTTAATTTTAAAAATGAAGAATGTCAAAACCAAAGCTTCCTTTAGAAAACTAGTCTGACCTCATCATTTTGACAAAAGAGCCCCCTGAGGGAAGGAGCTTGGTCACAGTTACAACTCCTGATTGGATTTAATCAGGCTTTGATTTCAACTCTAGTGCTTATCCCATAAACTGTATCCCTAAGAGGTAAAGGGACATACCTAAGGTCCCAGCAGAGCTGGGGGCCCTGACTCAGTTCTTTTTCCAGAACTCTGTGCTTTTTCTGGTTAGTGTATCCTGCAGAGGTGCCAGATACACTTCTGAGCTTTATGTTCTTGTGCTTAAGTTTCCAAGGTCATTTTGCCATCTGAGACAATGATATTACTGTGCACTATTGGAAGTTGCAGTGCTTTTTTCTCATCAAAATCTATTTTCACCATATTTTTACTGTGCAGTATTTGCTTGACTTTGTATCTCTTAACTTGTTGTTGGTTCAAACTCTTATAATAATGTTATAGCAGAAATAAAGATAAGATTGGCCATTTCTAGTCATTTCTAGTCAAAAGGTATCTATTTCCTGCAAGTTGTCAGGAAGAAGGAAACAGATTCATATAGCTTTTAATCTTTTAGACACACAGCTTCAGAAAAAGAAAGAGTTGCCGATCAGTTTCTGTCCTTATAAAAAGTAGAATAAAGCCTCCTTAATTTAATCTTGTGAGTTTTTGATTATATGAAAACACTGAATAATATAAATCAGATAATAAAGGGAAAGGTTAATTGAGGAAAAGTTTTTTCTAAGTATACCAGAATAAAGCTGGTAAAGAAGTAGTTCTCCCTTGTTAACCACTCTATCTCTAGCATCTAGCATACTGCCTGGAAAATAATACTTGCTCAATAAGTTCGTGTTGAAAGAAAGAATGAATACATGAATAAAAAGCAGGCTTCCAATATAAACAGATATTGGCAATACTTGGGCTGGTGCCTGATCTGTTATTCTAATTGCAA